AAAAGGGATTCAGAAGTACCAATGTATAACTTGAAAATGAAGTTGTACAAAAATAACAAAACTGAACACAGTCTATACAGAATTTCTCCAACCACAAGTTACTGGAGGGCAAGGACCAGATCTTCTCTAAGCTACTTCTATGCTTTATTCACCATGGCCTGATGAGGGGAAGACTATCAAGCCTTGCAAGGCAAGGAACAGTGGTTCCAGCACGTCTTCTTGCAGGCCTGCCTGATCAAGAAATACGGTAATTGTGAAAGGGAGAAAAGACTAAAATTAAGACTAGAGAAATGTGATTTCATGCTGCTTTACCACAAGGGGGCAATGTTTGAACACTAGTAATCTGGAGAAGCTAGGGACTTAGTTTACTTCCCTTTTAAACCCCAGACTGAGGGCTGGAGCCTGGGTGAGAAGTGGGCTTGTCGCTCCACCTACTCACTTCATTTCTCCTACAGGGACTGGCACCAACTCTTTACTAGCAGCGTGGCTGTCAGGGGGCCAAGGCCAAAGGAAACAAGCAGAGCAGCTAGTCTTCCTACAGTGATCACATACTCAAGAATGCGTGTTGACAAGTAGCAGTGATGGTGGGGATCTCTGCCTGGAAATTACTTTGAGTAGTATGGGGTAGTGGTTCTACAACTTGAGCAGGCATCAGAATCACCTGTAGGGCTTGTTAAACTAGATTACTGGGCTCTAACCCTAATTTCCAATTCATAAAGTCTAAAGTAGGTCTCAGAATTTGCATTTCAAATAATTTTTTGGGTGATGTTGATACTGCTGATCCAAAGACCACACTTTGATTATCACTGCTGTAGATATTTCTGGCTCCATGCCCTTAATCTCTTAATACTCTCCCATTCCCTCTTTTCTACCATCCACCTACTGCTTTAATTCTTCTCCACTATCCTCCTTTAGAAAAACTAAGGGAAAGACAGAAACAGGAGTGTTAGATTTATCTTAAGGATTCCTCTGGGCAAGGATTCTGGCACTCTAGTCTGGTTGATGGGTATTTCAGTAGCAAAATTTATTCCAAATACATACATGCTTCCTCTATCTAACAGTTGGTGGGGAGGGACAGTTCAGTAAAGAGTAACAGGTGCTTGGGGTGCCTGGATGGCGCAGTCGGTTAAGCGTCCGACTTCAGCCAGGTCACGATCTCGCAGTCCGTGGGTTCGAGCCCCGCGTCAGGCTCTGGGCTGACGGCTCAGAGCCTGGAGCCTGTTTCCGATTCTGTGTCTCCCTCTCTCTCTGCCCCTCCCCCGTTCATGCTCTGTCTCTCTCTGTCCCAAAAATAAATAAAAAAAAGTTGAAAAAAAAAA